TTATTTATTGAGTCTTCCTGCAAACATATTGCATAAGGCTGACTTAATGCCTCAGGCATTTTCTTCCAGTCAAACCTTTGGGTGTTGCAAAGCTGTGTGTGGCAGGTGTATATTTGGGACAGGTAAAGATGAGTCTCATCTGGCAATGAAGCCATGTTACAATGGCAGAAAAGAACAAATCCTACAGATATATAAGTACTAGATATACATACATATAGTTTATAGATATAAATATCATAACAAATGACAAAAAATATATACGAGTAATATATTATAATATATATGAAAATAAATATACTCTTAGGGTGTTATTCTGATGACTCCGTCAACAAGTCTCTATAGAGCTTCCGTACTTTAAGCTTAAAAGTGTATCGGTTAGTGGACATCCTGATTTCTAGTGGGAGTGTGTTCCAAAGAGTTACAGCTTGAACAGGGAAGGAAGAATGGACCATACTGGAATTATGTGAAGGACAAAGAAGGAGAAGATTGTTGGAAGACCGAAGAGTTCTGTCATGATTAGAGCAGAGATATTAAAAGTGGGATATCAAGTAGGTAGGTGAGTTAGATGAGTGGAGAAGAGAGTGTAACACAGTCAGAGCTCTCGAACTGCGGCGCTGTCTTATAGGTAACCATGACAGTTGCGTACGGCAAGCGGATATGTGATCGTATTTTCGCAGGTTGAAAATGAATCGAATGCAATTGTTGAGAAGTCGGTCTAATTTATTGAGCAGATCTGCATTCAAGACGAGATAAAACACATCACCATAGTCGATAAGTGGAAAAATTTAACTCTGCACAAGCATCGTCTTTGTTTTTATTGGGAGGAAATTTTTAAGGCGATAGAATCCTCGTAAAATATTCGTAACCCTCTGACTGACACTAGTTACCTGAGTTTGCCAGTTCAGAGTCGCATCGATGTGCAGACCGAGATCCTTGACCGATGTACTAACAGGCAAAACGGTGTCATTAAAGATGATGCCAGTAATATTATCAAGATCAATTCTGCTTGTCATTCTCGGACTTCCTATGATGATCGCTTGGCATTTTGATGGGTTCACCGTTAAACCGAACCTGCAGGACCAGTTTTTTATGGTCTCTAAGTCTTGATTTATACTATTTACAGCTTCGTCCAAATTTTCTACTCTTGCATGTGAATAGATCTTGCAGGTTCGTCTGCATACAAGTGATACGAACACCGAAGTTCATGGGTTATGAGATCGATAAATAAAGAAAACAGAAGAGGAGAAAGAATACCGCCTTGTGGAACACCAGAGTCGAGTTCGGCCCGTATCGATGAAGATTCATCGGTTCGGACGGACTGCTGGCGTCCTCGAAGATAGGACGAGAACCATTCCAGTGCATCATCGGAAATCATGAAGTGGGTTAGTATTGCTAGTAGGATATCGTGACTCACAGTATTGAAGGCGTTCGAGAAGTCGATAAGGGCTAGTACAGTTATTTGGCCTTCCTCCACCGCCGCTTTGATATCGAGAGTCACTTTGAGCAACGCTGTCTCTGTACTGTGTCCCGGTCGAAATCCTGACTGATATGGGTTGAGCAAATTATTCCCGTAAATGAAGTTTGTAAGATGCTTATGTACGCAGGCTTCTAGGACTTTGGAGAGAAATGGAAGTATGAATATTGGACGAAAGTGGGTAGGAAGAGAGGGGTTAGGTACTTTGGCTAATGGACGTACGTAAGCTTTGCGCCATAAGGATGGAAAGACATTGGAATCAAGGGAATAATTGATCACATAAGTAATGGCTGGTAAAAGCTGTTCCAGGATAGAAGTTACCATAAAACGGCTTATTTCATCACAACCAGTGGCGTTGGATTTGAAGGACAGGATAAATTTTTTGACCTCTTCTGGTGCAGCTGGAGAAAAATCAAAGGAGTTTACATTATGCCTAGGCAGACGGGCCACATAAGCCATGGTTTGAACTTTGCTTTGATGATCCAATGTAGTAGATGTGATGAAATGGAAATTGATATCATCCAAAGCAATGCTTGTTGGAAAGTCTGCATAGCGTTCTCTACCAATGCCAAGAGTTCTTAGGAACTTCCAGATATCAGCAGAAGAAGATGAAGAGATACTATCGAGAATATGACGGCGTTTAGCGTTACGTATCACTTGATTACACTTATTTCTAGCAGTCTTATAGGCGAGCCAGCTATCATCACATCGAGTTTTCTTAAAACGCCGAAAAGCACGATCCCTATTCCGCATTACGTTGCGAACGCTATCCGTAAGCCAAGGCGCAGGAGGATGCTTTAATTTGATTTTCTTCGCTGGCGCATGAATATTATAGAGGTGCAGGATGTTACTGTTCAAAATTTCGACCTTTTCGTCGAAGGTGCCTGCTGCCGCTAAGGGTTCCCAGTTGATATGAGAAGCATCCTCCCGAAGTCTCTCCAAATCGATGCGTCCGAAACAGCGCCTATACATTATTTTTGTTTTAGGCTTTGGCGGCTTAATTTTGTACGTTATGAAAATCAGGTCGTGATTTGAGAAACCGGATGCCAAGTATTGTCCATGAGAAGTAACCTTGGCAAGAGACGAAGTGATAATAAGGTCTAGCAGGGTATCTTCTCCGTTTAGGTTGTGGTGAGTGGCTTGAAGCGGTAGGATATGTAAACAAGTGGATTCTAATATATTTAATAGTTTACGAGAGCGAGAGGAGTTTTGAGACAATAGATCAGTGTTGAAGTCGCCCATGATGATGTGATGCTCATACTCGGACCCTAACGATTCTAAAACCGATACGAATTCGGTGAAGTAATCAATGGCTGGAGGACAATATACGACACCTAGGACAAGTTTAACTCCTCTGACACAAACCTCAAGGAAAAGATACTCAGCGGTCGAATCAGGTGGTGATTCTGAAAGAAGATGGTAAGAAAAATCTGAACGTAAGTAAATTGCAACACCACCGCCTTTTTTATTTACTCTATCGTTCCGGATGAGAACAAAACCTGGCAGAGGGTACGAAGTAGAAGGAAGTTGAGGTTTGAGCCATGTCTCAGAGACCAGGATAGCGTGAACGTTTGAACCATTGAAGGCTTCCCACAGGTTACTGTAGTGACTGGGTATGCTTTGAGCATTTATATGACAAACGTTTAATTCTTGTTTAGATTTTTGATTAAAAGTGTTAGACAATAGTTCACCGAGTGTATCCGTTACCGATGTAAAACTGTCATTGGCTAACGAATCAGCAGAGTCGTTGGCGGAGTAGAATGATTCGACATCAGACATGCGATGCTAATATATATATATATATATATATATATATGTATATAGAAACTAATTATTAAGATATAGAATACAAAGGTACAATTACTATACTATAAAGTTTTGCAAATCAACGTAATACTTACATCAATGCACCACCCGCCGGCCCACACTGACACTTATTTAAAAATAAAACAATAACAAGAACACCAATAACACCAATTAATTATAAACAACGTAAGAAAAGAAAAACAAAAACCATTTAGTAAAGTAAGTCGATTGTTGGTAGTGACAAAAATATTATTTCAGAACGGTTTATGATATGCATGAGAAATTACATGAACACGGAACGCACCGGTTAGGAAGTTCACCGTAAACGTCATCTTGACAAACTGACATATAGGATATAGATTGACGATTATGATATAATATTGCTATTGTGAAATGTCTTACCTATTGTAAATATGTAAACAAAAGGTGGTATGAATAATGCAAAGTAATACACATTGAAAAGGTTTTTTTAGAACACTATACACAATAATGGCATGGAAATTAGGTCCTACGTGTTGAGTTCTTGTTAATATTAGAACCGTCATCCGATGCACCGCTGCCCTTTACTGCACGGGCCTCATCAGCTGCCCCCGGATATTTCCTTATCAGAGGTTCCAACTCATCGAGCGACGTGATCTTGACTCGGCCCCCACTTGGAGCTTTGATGACAATAACGCCTTCTTGGGTCCAACAGCCTTTCACACCAAAATGGAGGCGGGCTCTGGCAAATGCAGACTGTCTGGCCTTAGTAAGATATTCTTTTACTGTGATACTCGTGCCTTTGAGTTTTGTCTTCACTTTCCACACAGCAGATTTGAGATCCAATGTTAAAAATCTTGCCAGTAAGGGCCGCTTGTGACCTGTTTTGGGACTGCCAAGTCTATGGCAAGTTATCATAGATGACTCGGTAAACTTCAGATCCAGCTTGCTACTAAGGAGGCTCAGTACAGTGCCCGTACAGTTTTCATTTTCGGCCTCTGGAACTCCAATGAAGACAAGTGATTTGCGTCTATGTCTGGATTCTATTGCATCAACAGCTTTAGAACACTCATCGATCTGTTTGCGAATTAAACCCAGCATACTAAACATGAGCTCACGGAAGGTCCTAAACTCTTCAGCAAGCTTCGCAACGGTATCCTTAGCCGGCGCGCTGCATTGTATCTGTGCCTCAAGTTCACCCATTCTTTTTGTGAAGATCTCCTCTAAGCTCCTCTGCGCAGATTCAATCACAGCAAGTTGAGACATTCTTGAATCAATTGATGTTCTTGTCAATTAATAAAATAGAGACAAATGTTGTGATGGTGCTAGTGAACAGCTGACAGGTGGATACAATTAAGTGCTTGCTATCACATCTATAGCTCTGCTAACATTTGTACAAGCAAATAACTGTGGTTTTCACTGATTTTAGTTACAAAAACTGTAAATATGTTGATAATTTCATTAAATTTAATTTTAAAGTTATTCACACAAGTGTTTAAAGTTTTACACACCTATCCTATTTTTATCAATGTGTCATCTAAATGCACTATAAAGTCCTCCACTATATCTGGTGATGAATGAGGTTCTATAGTGATCTCATCGCCCAGTTCCAAGAAGTGATCTTCGGTTAGTGGGTATTACTCCACGGTTTCTGTTATTACTGGTGCATGCAACTTATTTATATCATGGCTTATTTCTGTATCTAAATTTATGGAAATATCTTCTTGGTTTTTAGACTCTTTTATTCTTGATTCATGTTGATGTATCTCAGCACAGACAACTTGATCCCGTCTTTCAGTTTTCTGTAGCTAACTCTCAATACCATTATTAGCAGAGTCAACATTATGTGCACTATTTGAAGCTTCTTGTTCTGATACTTTAGCTTTTTGTTAACTTTACCTTTATTTGTAGATCCCTTAGGCCTGCCTCTTTTTTTGCCCTCAGTCACTGGTTTTCCTTTATTTTCTTTTTCTCTATTTTTCTGATACTCTTCCACTTCTTCGGCTGAAACGCTTTTTCCTGCTGTCACAGGCAACTGAAATTTTCTTGCTTTCCCTACTACATTTAGATCAGATTGCCTGACTTCTTCTATAAAGTTAACAAAACTTTCGGCTACTAATTCTCGTACTTCTGTTTGAGATGTATATGTAGGCAGTTTGCTTAAAACGGTTTGTGGAGAAAAAGGGTACAACCCACAGCTTAAAACCTGCTTTCATGTTTTCAGCTGAAGTGACTTTGATATTTTCCAAAGTAGTTTTTATAAGCTGTGCAAACAGAGACTTTGGCAAAGTTAATACTTTTTTCCCTCTACTTGTATTACGATAGCTATCTAACACTTTACGCCATGCAGTTTTAAGGGGAGAAAAATAGCCCATATCCAGAGGTTGTAGTAAATGAGTAGAGTTAGGAATCAGGCATATAAAAGCTACATTATGAGCTTCACATAACCGCAATGCTTTCGGAGAAATATGTGCACTCAAGTTATCGCAGAGCAATATTTTTTTACCGTCATCCTTGTCAAGGTAAGGCAAAAAGTGGTTTTCCAGCCAATCCTCGAAAATTGATTGATCAATCCATCCAGATTGTGAAACTGACATTCTGGAACCAGATGGAGCTTTAAATAACCAGTCCGACCATAACTTTTTGCCTTTGAAAACAAAAAATGGTGGCATCATATCACCATTGGCATTGCCGCAAAATATGACAGTGTAGCAGGATTTCGATGAAATGAAATGAAATGATGAAATGATATTTATTTCTGTAAGTAAATCTTTTCAGATATTTTTACAAGTCGGATTTCAGATATTTTTACAAGTCGGATGAGTTTTTTCTTATCTGGATCGTCGTGAAAACCTGTTTCGTCCATATTATAAATATTGTTAGGTGCAACTCCTTCTATTTCTTCTTTAATATTGCGAAAAAACTCGTCAATTTGTTCTCGATTTACTTGGGCTCTCTTTCTAGGAATTTTATGTCCTACTTTTTCTTTTATCTCAGGATGTCTCTCTAAAAATAATGTACCCCATTCATAGCCATATCCTTAAATTGAGGTACAATTTTGTTGTTCTTTGTCAAATAATTACGTACAATTACTCGAAAATCTAACATACTGCAAGGAATACCCAAATCGGCCATCATGAGAAGATGTGAAACAAAAGTGTTTTCTTCTTCATCAGTAAATATTTTAGGTCTACCCACATTCTTATCATGCTTTTCTTTTAATTTATAAAATAATGTCACAGGGGGTATTTTATATAATTTGGCTGCACCTACTCGCGATATGGCTCCTGATTTTATTTTTTCAATAGCTTCTTGAAGAATCTCAGGCGTGTAATTACTTTTCTTTCCATATTTCCTCACACCAGGCTTTACTTTTTCAGATTTTCTCGGCATTTTTCACCCTAAAAAAGAAAGTTTAAGTTTCGGGTAACATTGAACGATTCAAAGTTACCCAATATTCATACATTTTGAAAGTACATTAGAAATTACGATTTCAATTCAAAAACCTAAAGTTAAAGTCACATCTTTTATAATAAAATTGAAGGCGAAAACATAAACAACAAGAAAAGTCAAAATCTCACCTGTTTTAAACAGCTTTTCTAATTTTTTTTACAAATTTATCTCTGCAACGTACACCCGATAAAAAGCGTATTCAGAAAGGGCGGCAAAAATTTAAGTTTTATTTTGACAGATGTCATTTTTTTTTTTAAGTTGCTTCCTTAGTATTATGTCGTTCCGTTTCCGTTTCCGCCTTTCAGAACAATATAATTATCTACTACAGAATCAGTGGCCTTTATTTTAATTGAATTAATATATTAATTAATTAATAAATTTCAAGTCAAGAAATGTTTTTTTTTTTTAGTGGTCTCTTCCTTCGGGGCTCCTCCTCTCGTTCAGACTCCGATTCGGACCCAGAGCTGGAGTCTGTGTCCCTGGTTTTCTTTTTGAGTCGTTTTCCAATATGTCGGCCAGTGTCTTCTCAGGGATGGTGTAACCCTTTGTCTTTAACCACTCTTTTTGATCCAGCGTGAGTTGTAGTGTGCCTGATGACACGGATGTCATTTTGAGAACCCTCTTAACAACATCCATGTGCAGGGCTTGGTCTATGAGACTCTTGCTCCCCTGGTAATTTCTTTGAACCTTCTTAATTCGCCGGGCCCACTCTAATGTTGCTGCATAGAGATTAGGGTAATTTGCGTGGTTGAGGTCAGGATGCTTGTTGTTGTCCAGCAGCCTACATAGAGGGTATTCCACCCACTCTATACGCTTGACCTCTATTAGTACAACATCAAACTTCATGGCCTCCTTGGTGACGCTGGGTACTTCTAGAGGCCGATTACCAGCGGAGGAGAAGAGGCTCATTAGGTTAACTGATTTTAGGTATGCATCTTGATAGACAAGGTCCAACTGAGACAGCACCGCACTCACTATAGGAGGCTCATTGTCCCTGGATCTTCTAGTGATTAGACACTTGCTCAATAGGTCGCTCTTAACACCCATAGAGACGCGACTTATTCTCTACTATATAGAGCCATACACTGGACATGCAGGCCTCCGACAGAGCATTCACCTTTTTAACCCCTGCCAGACCTGCACTCCATCTCTTTGTGCATGCCAGGTTGTTCTCGTTTGTGGGCTCTTTCACGAAGCCCATAAGATATGCCAGACCAGCGAATCCTACAGCCTGCTGGCCCATAGTGGTGGCGGTCCCTTGAACTTGCCTGTCCCCATATGCCACATTCTGCGAGTCTACTATGTTCATCACCCAGTAGGCTGATGATATTATGACGTTATCGTTTAGGTAAGTTTTGTTGAAGTCTGTATTCCCTACTAATATGGACATAGCTTTCACAATCTGCTTGTGGATGGTTGGTTTTTCCCCTTCTGTTATATCTTGCCTGTCATCGAAGGACATGATGATTTTGGTTTTTGATTTGAGTTGATGAACTGCGGGATCCCGGAATTATGCCGATGGTTGGTAATCAGCCTTCACCCCGCGGGAAACTAGGTCGGCAGGATTCTCCTTCGAAGGTACGTAGTACCACTGACAACCTGAGGTATTATCTTGTATTTCACCTACTCTATTCCTGACAAAAGTTTTTAGACGACTAAGAGATGTTTTTAGCCATCCAAGCACAATTGTAGAATCAGTCCAATAATAACACTTTTGAAAAGTGTGGGTGAGAGATTGTTGTACTTTAGTGCAGAGTCGTGTACCCAGTAATGCACCACATAATTCCAGACGTGGTATAGTGACAGGTTTCAAAGGCGCTACCTTATTTTTTGACGTTAAAAGATGAACATGAACAGTACCTTCGTCACTCACCGTCCTCACTGTTAGGTAGTACAACACTACTATCGTCTCTCGATACTTGTCAGTGGTACGTCACTACACTTGGACTTAGCTATGGCGGACATGCGTATTGCATTGTAATATAACTTATGAAAATAAAGACATACTTACTGGCTATGGTGGACTTCATCATTTAACCTGAAAACTCAACATCCAGAAGCCTTTGTTGGCGTCTAAAGTTGTAAAATACTTTGACCCAGACAGTTCTGTTTTTATTTCATCTAAAGTTGGTAATGGATAATGGGGTCTCATGATAGCTTCATTGAGTTTGTTTGGATCTATACAGAGTCTAATTTTACCATCTTTCTTAGTAGTTAAAACAATAGGACTTACCCACTCCGTTGGCTCGTCAACCCTTTGTATGATATTTTGTTTTTCCATCTCCTGAAGTTCCTTTTTGAGTGGTTCCCGGAGTTGAAATGGAATTCGTCTGCAGGCTGCGACGTTTGGAGTGGCATCTGGCTTCAGCTTGAGCTTTACTTCTAGATCTGTGATACACCCTATACCATTTATCAAATCATGAGGAAGCTGTGGAACCAAATCAATGTTGTGCACCCTTTTAATTAAGTTCAGTGTTTGACATGTGTCCCTGCCTATGATATTTTTACAATTTAGGTCAGCAACATGAAAATTGACTGTATAACTATTGTTATTATATTTAACAGGTAAGTTGCATTGACCAATAGTCGGTATGATGTCACCACTAAATGAAGATAACCTATGAGTACTTTTATGTATCATGTTGGTTTGAATGTGTAGAGTTTCAAATGTATGCACCGAAAGAATGTTAGTGTCTGCACCAGTATCTAGAACAAAATCTATGTTTACATTGTTTATTGAGAGTACCATTTTCCATGACTGAGTATTGACTGAATTTACACTAATTGTGCCTAGAAAAAAGTTGTTATTGTTACAATTATTACTATTATGAGCCTCATCTATGTTAATGTTGTTAACACTTTTACATACTTGAGCAAAATGGTTATACTTTCCACACTTCCTACATTTAACGCCTTCTGCCGGGCATCTGAACCTGTGGGTCTGACCACATCTGGAGCAAATGCTGTTCTTACTTGATGACTGCGACTGAGGACGTTTTGATTCCGACTTCGGATATTCTTTTATGCTACGTGAAAATTTGGAGACCTGGCCTATGATTGGTTCTTCCAGTGTTTTCACCTGTATCCTTGTTGCTTCCATGCTTTTAGCTAGCATTACTGCTTTGTCCAAAGATGTTGGCTTGTCTGTCAGTATTCTCTCCTTGATGTACTGATTGTTAGCATTCAAGTTTAAACTAAAGATGTCACGTAAGATGCTGTCTTCTAGTGGTTATGTCAATTCACATTGTTTTGCGATATTTCTCAAGTCTGTTGTGTACATATCAATGGATTCATCTAAGCCTTGTCGTCTGTTAAATAGTTTGTGGCGTTCCATTGTTACATTTACTTGCGGCATGAAATGTAGGTTGAACCTCTCTGTCAGTTCTGCAAAACTTACAGTGTCGATGTCCAGGTTAAAAGAATAGAATGTCGTGAGTGCGTCTGTGCCCAAGAAATGTAGAAGTATGGCGACTTTTCTAGCGTCGTTTTCCTGTTCTAAATTATTAGCCCGCATATAAATTTTGAGCTGTGTGAGCCAGTTTTTCCATGCCAATGGCATATTTGAATTATTTATGTCCAATGGCTGGATGAAGCTACTGATTACTTTCGATGTCGTTGTCGGCGTTGGCGGCTTCTTGTCGTCGGTCATTTTTTACCTTTTTTCTCTAGTAGAATGTGCGCACGACTGGAATGTGGAGCGTGTTACGCGTTGTTCACTACTTCTGACACCATGTTGAGTTTTCAGGTTAAATGATGAAGTCCACCATAGCCAGTAAGTATGTCTTTATTTTCATAAGTTATATTACAATGCAATACGCATGTCCGCCATAGCTAAGTCCAAGTGTAGTGACGTACCACTGACAAGTATCGAGAGACGATAGTAGTGTTGTACTACCTAACACTCACGTCCTCAGGCTCCGTAAGCGCGTTCAGAAGCATCTGTGAACGTATGAAGTTCGTAGGTATTTGCTTTATCACCGCATACCCACCGTTGGATACGAAGTGAATTTAAGTAAGAAAGAGACTGAACGAAGTTGAGAAATTTTGATTTTATTTCAGAAGAAACCTCATCATCCCAGCCACACTTCTCTAGCCATAGATATTGCATAATAATTTTCGCTACGACAGTGCACGGACCCAAAAGACCTAGTGGTTCAAACACCTGTGAAATCAAGGATAAAATTACACGTTTTGTGATTTTATTTTTATTTGAAGTTAAATTGATTGAAAATAATAATCGATCTGTTACTGAATCCCAACATAATCCTAAAGTTTTACTTGTTTGATTTTCTTGTAGAGATAAAGCCTTTTCTGTTTGCTCATTACTTGTACCCAACTTGAGTTCCTGCAAGATTTCTGTGCTATTAGACTGCCATTTACGGAGATTAAATTTTGCAGTTTTCAGCGTCGCTACCACATCTTTACATAAAGCCATAGTTGATTCAACAGAATCTCCCCTATAATCATCTACATATAGATCTCTAGCTATTGCTGTTTTTGTTTTTATATTTGCGCACTGTTGAGATAGTGAAGTAAGACACTTTGTAGCTAAATACGGTGCCGACGCTGTGCCGTAAGTAACCGTGTTGAGTTTGAAACGTTTAAGAGGCTCTGTCAAATCTGAATATAATTTGCTGTAACGAGCAATAAGAAGGCTCGACTAAAATGGCCCTATACATTTTTTCTATATCGCCTGATACAACAAAGTTATGCTGTCTGAAGCGCAATAAAATTGAAAGTAAATCGTCTTGGACGACTGGACCAATCATTTGTATGTCATTGTATGACTTTCCAGTAGTTGTTTTTGCCGAGGCGTCGAATCTGGTCACGTTCGAATCTGCGTTCAAGAGAGAGAAAACGACGTTTAGCTAACATATACGACTCACCTAAAACTTCTGGTGACTCTTTAAAGGGTATAGATACCGATAATCGACCTTCCTTGTCACGCCGAGTTGACTCAGTGAAATTTTTTTCACACGCCTGCTCCTCGGAGGAAAGGCTGTACTTTGAAGAAACAGTATCAAGCTCCCAAAAACGCGAAAGCTGCGAATCATCGTTCTGTGTAAAATAACAACTTGATTCAGAGTTATATGTATTATTTTTGCCTGTATTAATACTGGCTGAACCTGATATGAGCCATCCTAGCCTGGTTTCTTGTAATTTAGGACACTGTTTTCCTGAATCAATATATTTAGAACATAGAATGTCCCAGAAGACTTCAGCACCCAATAAAATGTCGACTTCTGATGAAATGTTGAACGTTGGGTCGGCTAATTGTAAGCCTGACGGTATAGGAAAATTACGAATAGGTATAAATGATGATGGAAGTGATTTGGTAATTTTTGACAAAACATAACAATTTATGTTGACCTGATAGTCACCTGAACACGACTGAATGACTAGGTCACATGACTCTGCACTGTGTGTAAATTGATTATTAATACCTGTGACAGTGGAGCTCGCGTTACGCTTTGCCAAACCTAGCTTCTCACAGAGGCTTTGTGTGACGAAATGAGAAGTGAACGAAGACGAAGAAGAACGCGGGCCATGCGAAGTCTTCCCCTGTGCGTCTGCCACTTTCACCAAACCTGTGGATAGCAATACGTGAGGTCTGTTAGTATTCTGTTTATATGATGATAAAACGACTTGTGTTTCTGTGTTTGTATCTTTATGTAAAAGGGTGTTGTGTTTTTGATTACAATATTTGCAGTGTGATAATTTACAATGTTTTTCCATGTGATCAGGCCGCAAACAATTTTTACAAATCTGTTTACATTGAGCCACCTTTTGTTGACGTGAATCCACGTCCAAATCTCTGAATTTTTAAAGACAGGTGCTATGAAGGCTAGTTTCCATACTTCAGGAAACACACCTGCAGTGATACACTTGTTGTATATTATGTGTAGAGGCTTACAAATACTTAAGCTGGTGTGTTTAAAAAAAATAGGATGTATTCCATCAGGTCCCCGGCTTTTGGTAGGGTCAAGTCTACTGAGTTCTAATCTAATCTTATCCATATGTATGTTGACATGACTGACTATGGGACTACTTTCATTGTATGCTTCGGGGGGAGACCAGTCATTCACAACCAATGCTGACGGCTCGTATACTGAGTGAAAAAAATCGGCAAAAGAGTTGCAGATGTCATGTGGAGTATTTGCTACCTGACCGTTAAGTGTGGTTTTGGATGGCACTGTAGATTTGTTTTTAATATTAGAAATGAATTGCCAGAAGTATTTCACGTTGTTACAAATATTATCCTCGACGAACGCCATTTATCTCGCATAACAAGCAGCACACTGCTTCTTAAATATTTTTCTGAAATGAGCGAAACGTTCTGACTTATTGCCATAAGTTTTCCATTTCATCCAAGCCTTCGATTTATCGTTAAAGACATGTTTCAAGGACGGAGTAAACCATACAGGGAATTTAGAGGGAGTTTTAGTTGACACAGGCACATGATTTTTTATTATTTCAAAAAATTTCTCGTAGAAAATATTAACTGCATTTTCAGCTGAATATTCACCAATTACTTCGTCCCAGTCAATGTCTTGAAACGCGTTATTCACAGAAACATAATCCGCCTTGTAAAAGTTATGTCGTCATTGGACAACGGATCATATACTTTGTGTGAATATTAAATGGAACAATAGCGGTAAAAGGAGGATGGTGTGGATCAACTTTAGCTAAATATCCTTTGGGGTCTAATACCGAGCAGCCCACACTAGATATCAGCAGGTCCAATAAACGTGTTAATGAGTTAAAAATGTTATTGTATTGAGCTGAGTTGGTTATGTCTACATAAACCTTGTTAGTTCCTGAGCCAAATCAGATGAGACGGTAGCGGTGCAAACTAAAGTTTGTTTACAACTAGGATTCTCAGTCCATTTTAACTCAGGCAGGTTAAAGTCTCCAGCGATTAAAAAGTTCTTAACATTTGGGCTACCTAGAATAACTTGAAGTAAATTAAAGTATTGGTTATAAACAACTGGCCTTGTCTTCGGGGGTATGTATGTAACATTAATGACATTGATTTTAGAAGAATTATTATTATTAGCGCGGTCTCTGTCTTTCCGGAATACTGAATATCTTTGATCAATAAATTCGTTGTTGGATATTTCTGGTACGAGCCAGGTTTCAGTAAGAATAATAACGTCATAGCAGTTAGAGAAAATATTCATATAAAGTGAATTTAATTTAGTCTTGAGCCCCCTGCAGTTTTGATAGTATATTGTGATGTTACTATCCATTATTATTTAATAACAAAAAATCAGTAGTGTAAGTAATAGTTTCATCGTAAGTGCTAAAGTTAGTCAAAGTCACCCCAAGTAATGTTATCAATATCAATACTATCCTCATATAGTGATGAAAGGAGCCTGCAGCAGTTTGACAGTATAGTACGATTACAGTAAAATTGAATACCTCAGGAGCAGGTTTGATAATATGAAACAAACAGATCAAACAGCAAACACAACCAATATGCAGTATGTTATTCGTTAGTGCACATAAAGCTTCAAGCATGGGCGGGGCCGACCGTGGTCGGTTTACCTCGAGGCCTAATTTGAGCAAATAATTGGGGAATTATCTGATTCGCGTACGAGGACCGTGGCGTGTCGAACCCAAACATACTTAAAACCCTGCCGTTTAGCGGCCTCACGACATTCGCGAAAAATAAATTTATTTTTTAAAGTTAAATGTCCATCAATATATATAGCTTGTGGTGTACCTGTGATGTCTACCTGGTCAGACTTTAATATTTTTGTTGATCTAAACACGCTCAGAAAGTTATCACGCAGAATTCGCGAGGCCAGCTTAACTATAATGTTTTTAGGTCTACTATTGGTAGGCTGTGCATGAGGGACACGATGAACAGCGATAACATCCTTTTGTGTAATAGGGCAGTTAATTATATTACAAATAGACACCACCAACTTCAGAATATTCTCATTTTTCCTTTCTGGGACGTTAGTAATCTCAACATTGCACTGTCGCGCGTGCTGTTCGAGGGAGTCAATCTTCGTCTCCAAGGTTGCCACCAAGTCGGTAGATGTATCAATGGTTTTCGTGACAGTTTCCAAGTCCAAAGTTCGCTGTAAGATGTCCGCCTGTTGGTTAAACTGAAACTGAATCGCGGCTTGTAAGGAAGATAGTTCCCCCACCACTTCAGTGTGTTTCTGCTCCAGACTGGTAACAGCATCATTAAGATGATTTTCAATCATTCCAACACGTCCTACCACATTGCGGTGGTCCGCGCTGAGAGCGTTTATTTCGCCCTTCATATCCGCAAAGTTGTTTGATAAAGTGGACAGGTCGGATTGCATTGAAGACACTTTCTTATCCAAATTGGTAAACTTGCTGTCTATTTTTTCCTCCAACCTTTTTAATGACTCCCTAACCTCCGAGGCAAATCTAGCTATTTCATCATGACTATGATCGGATTCTGGTTGTTTCCTCTTCCTCACGGTAACCTGGGTACTGCCCTGCCC